TCTAATCTGAATTTGTACACGTCTAGTGCATGCACCAGGCAATTCTGCAGCACTCAGCGAGGGCTGTATCCACAGCAAATCCAACATAAACCGAATGTACCGGACTTGAGGGCAACCCAGCTTCCACACATATACATTCTGGAGGAAGCTTGTCAAGGTGTACTTTCCTACAAAAAAATGCATCCTACAACTGGGAGATGCAGATGCTGTTCCCTCCTACTCTGTGTCAAGGAGATGTTCACCTGTCAAAAGCTGAGGAGCCTTTTTTGATCTGGTCACACCACTGTTCTCAGCATTGCCGTTCACAGTTGTGCCCTTGCTCCACAATCCTGCTTTATCAGCAAGAAGAAGAAACAGGGCTCAAATTATTCAGATGAAACTAAAACTGACAACTGATGCAAAATCTTATCTTTTTTTTAAAGAGATTGTCCTTTTCATTACTTTTTGCTTCACTGAAAAACAAAATACAAGTACCAACAAAACACGGATTATGCACTGACACCCACTTTAGTCTCTGTACTGTTAATATTAACAAATATCACTAAGAAGAAAGTTGCAAAAAATGCAGACTCTTTGCTTCCTATTCTACACTAACATAAAGATGAAAACTAAGCTGGTTAAATTCAATTACTACCTATTTCTTTTTTTATTTTTCCTTATAACATCTGCTTTTCTTCACAAGTCCATATTCCACAGCCGCATGTAAATAATTCTAACTTTCAGAGCTTAAATTACATCTGTATTTTTTCTCAAGCCATAAAATTCTAGTTTATCCATGATATTCAAAAAGCCAAGAGAAACATCCATGGATTTTTAAATACTACACTCCTAAGATTTGTGAGAGGGGAAGGAAATGGTGACCTCCTAGGATTTCCTGTGGATTCTATCATTTATTATAAAAGGCTGGGGATAATGTTGACAAGGCCAGGCAGCCTACGTGCCCTTCCTCTGAAGAACACGTTATAACTTGCTCCGAGAACTACACAAGCCAGTAAGATCAGAACTGGGCTCAGAAAAAGCCGATTCGGTTCTACGGAGGCTTACCATTTACACTATTAAATTACTAAATTATCACTTACACTATTTGTTTGAAGCAAAACTGCAGTAGCTGAACTTCCCTTGTTCCCCTTTCCTCCCCTCAAAGCCAAGCACAAGAGCACATCCCTCCTGAAAGCCGGCTTCTGCCACGCTAGCACGCTACCGAAAACCCCGGGACAGGCACTCAATCTCTTCAAGCCCAGAAGGACCCAGCAGTGCACAAGTCTGGCCCGAGATCCCTCCCCTCAATCAGGAGCCAGCGATGCTGGGAATAACAGGCACATCATCTTTAGAAGAGGACACCTATTTTCCTGTTCATTCCTACTTGAATGCTCAAAAGAAACCCATTATAAACCAGCTAAGCACAACTGGCAAAACTGAGTTAGTCCTGCCTGCTCTATTTCTTTTCCAATCAAGGCTGGTTTTCTCTCCTCTGATACACTCCTGAGAAAATAGAAGAAAGACTCCTAAGTCAGACTTGCCACTTCTTTTGTGCTGCAATCCAATTGTAATATCACAGATGTAACTCCCAGATATGAAAATATTAAGAACTTAATTGCAGAGTTAATTGGGCTAAATTGCACCAGCTATACAATTTACAGAAAGCTTTACTGCACGGAGCCTGCATTTTCACAGCAGCCCAAAGACTTTAGGTGTCTCATGACCAATGATTCTCAGAGAGCAAGTAATTACTTTCTTCAGGCTGTTTTTAAAACCCTGTCATTAGTATCGACATTAAATAAAACAACACAGAAGTCGAAACTAAAGCCCATCATGTATGAACTTCATAAAAACCTTGAGTTCTTTCCCCTCTCAAATTCCTGATCTTTGAGTATCTGATTTTCTAACTTCAATGTTTCGCTAATTTTGTACATTTCTAATATTTTTAGCTTGCTATGATCCTTTCCACTAGGGGAAAATATGGGAAGAAAATGAAACTGTTTATCTAGAGGACTCTACAAACTCCATTGCCAAAGCAAGATTCCCAAAAGACTTCTTCATCATCCTTACAACAGTGCAGCCTAACAGAGTCTGAACGCTTTAATGGCTAGTGATGAAACACCACAAAACAATCAGAAGCAGAACAAGGCTAATTGACTGGAGGATGGACTGCTGTTTCAATGGATTGCCCCCTTGGCCCCAACCCCAAGTTTAAAATACTCCAGTCCTCAATTACAGAGAGATGTCATTATTCAGTAGTCATTGGAGGGCTGGATTGACAATTCTGGAGAGCAATGTCCCCTATTCATCGGCAAAGGGTGAAAAGCACGAGCAGGGACACCACAGTTGAACATGCCTTCCCATGCCCCAGTTCACCCAGACCCCCAGCAGCACCCCCAGCTTGGCTTCTGGGGCAGAACCACCTGGAGCACCCACTGAATCCCGACAGCTCAGGTGACCAAGAGGAAAAGATCCAGACCCTCGTACATGAAATAATCACCTGTCCCATTACAAGGGTTATACACACTAAGTCCTCTGCGTGGAAGCACACAGGAGGACTAAACAGCCCAACAGCTACAAGACCCCTTTCCCCGTCCTGCCCAGGGGCTTTGCACAGACCACCACCACAGCTCACCACCAAGGACCCAAGGCAGCCTCCCAATGCCAAGAAATTTTCCCCAAAACCATCACTTTGGTGATCACCCGGCTTAACAGATTTGACAGTAGGTTCTAAACTTGCTTGTCAGATAAATGGAATTTTCTATAATGATACAAATTAAATAAGACAAATTAAGATACAGATGTGTAAAAATACAGATATGTGAAAACCCAGGGTGAATTCCAAAGCTGTCACTACGAGTTAAACCCTTACTCTCTCTTTGCCTCAGTATCCCCCTCCTAAGTATCTGTATCATAGTCTATTCCTCTCACTGTTTATTGTCTCTTGATAGTAGAGCGTCTTTAGGGAGGGGGCTGTTGCACACAATTCTAGGCATGTTTGTAGTCATGTGCAAAATGAGGTCAGAGTCTCAGGTGGGACATTTACTTGCACTACTGAAATACCTCAGGAAGACAGAAATAAGAACGGAAACTACTAAAAATCAAAACTATGTTGAACTGGGTGGGGAACACACATGAAGATGTTCTCTGGATATATGAATGTATGTTAAAACAAAATAAAGAGCCATTTAAGAGCCTTTAACTGAAAAGTGAGGTGTGTATCACCAGGTTTAGAGTCACCTTTGGCTGACTGATTCACATTTTTAAGCTACTCACAAATTCTCATTGATTACCAAAAGAAAATTTCCCCAAAAACACATCAATTAACACATAAGAATCTCAAAAGAGCAGTTTGGCAACCCACCAATACAAAGAGCAACAAAAACTGCAGTTAGGGGAATGTTATTTAAAATAGCCGTTTTGGACAAAGCATCCTCACAAAGGCTACTGTTTTACTTATTCCAACCATTCCAACCATGTGGATGCCCCATCCCTGGAGGGGTTCAAGGCCAGGCTGGATGAGGCTTTGAGCAACCTGGGCTAGTGGGAGGTGTCCCTGCCCATGGCAGGGGGGTGGAACTAGATCTTTAAGGTCCCTTCCAATTCAAGCCACTCTGTGATTTCTGTTAAAAATATATCTTTCTAAAAGTAAAAGAAATCATACATGAAGCATTACTGGCTGAAAGTGACAACATATATGTATAAAACTATTGGTTTCTCCTACAAATTTGTGGCTCTTTGCCAATTCACACACTTAGGAAGCAAGAGATTCTCACGACACAGAGTCACTCGGCAAGTCAGCTCCTCTTTAAAGTTACTAGAACCTTCACAAACTTGTTGTCCTTTCATATTTTCTTCTTCAGAGATACATGTCCAAAACAGAGAATCCAAAACTGAGGATATAGAAAGAATTATCCATTGCAAAAGAAGGAATTCCTCAACATTTTTATATTCTTTGTATATATGCGCTGTCAATTTTTATTGTTCATCATGTTCAGCAGTATGGACCGAGGGGTAAAGCTCCCAGGAGTAAATCTAACTGTACAGTCTGTTCCCCAGTGGGCTGCTCTTTCTTCATCTGACTTCCTACCCGGCTGTGAAGTTACTGCACTTGGGCAACCACAGCTATTATCACAATCACAGCACGACTGTCAGCTAGGCATTTCAACCTTGTTATTAACTGAGCCATGTAACATTCCTACAAAGCAAGTAGTATTGGACTCCTTTTCAGCTACAAAATGAAAGCACACATACCTTACCCATGCCTCATTCCTTATCCACCGAGTGGGAGAGCCAAAATTAAAACCTAGGTGTTCTTCTGCTACTCCTCTGTTCTAATTACTATATACCAGAATAACTGTTTCTGTACATCACTTGATTTTGAAAATGCAATAAATATGATACTCCCAAAATAAAATCACCTCCAACCCAGTCATGTCTCAGTTAGAATTTAGGGTGAGAAAATTAATGTTATGTGTTCTAAGCATTTGTACAGATACAGCAGATGTGATTTCACAGTCTTACCATAACAGGTATTTTTACAACATGAAGTGGTTCTTGTGCTGTCTGCAAAAATTTACAACTGTGTGTTCATGTGAAGCAATAAAAGAGCACAGTGAATTCTTTCTTATGTTTGTACCACCTCTCTTTCAAATCAGCAGCCCCCTAAACAGGAGAGTTAGGTCTGAAAATATCAGTATTCAGCAAAACATAGGAATCTATCCTAGATACGACATTGCAGCCAACGCATTTGGTTTTTTCTGCGGGGAAAGCTACACTGATTTTCTTGTGTCAGTCCCAGTTTGGCTTCTTAGCAGCCAAGACATGGCACACTTTCCCTCCCTGGTGTTAGAATGTGGGCATTTTATGTTTATGCTGAAATTCTGAATTTTCCAGCATTCTTGACATCTGTACATCAGGTCATTAAGTCCATGACCACTAAAAGTAATGGAAGAAATTCCTGACAACATCCCCTTATCATGTAAATGTTGGCTCAGTTTCCATTATATATTGTCTCTTACCTGTCAAGAAGAAGTTCCAGTACTTCCTTAGTTGAAGAAAAGGCCCGGTACGTGGAGAGGAAGATATTGATGTATGTAAAATCATTATCGCCAAAAGCTGTCAGAAGGTTCTCCACAAGTTTCTCCAAAGTTCCAGCTTTTATTGTCCTGATCTTGGATGTTTCGTACTGGCTGACAGTATGTTCTGGGGGTAACTGGTCCCCATCAGCCTACAAAGTGGAAACAAAAACAACGCACAAAAATCAGACAGAAGCTGGATCCTTACCACAGCTTTCACCATGAAACACAGATTAAATTCCATCTTTCCACAGGAATAATCCATATTTAGGAATGGTTTTGTCAATTTTGGCTCTCCAAACACCAAATGCTGTATCAAATAATGGAGGTTTTTAGTAAGTGTATCTTTAAGACACTTCTCTGACATGCTCCACAAAATATTTTATAGTTTGACTGCTATCAAGTTATCTTCTGATCCCATCATATATGATTATCTAAAAGAAAATCCATTGTCCCACAAAGAAAAATATTACTAGAGGGAACAATACTGGTAATTCAGTGTCTCACTTAACTTCTGAATAAACACAAAAACCAATCACAGCTTTAGCATCAGCACTTGCGATTCTCTCACTGAAAATACCGGCTTGGGGTTGCCACACAGAACCTAAGGTCACGAACACGTTTGGATGCAAAACATTTCATGATACTTTTGCAAGGAGGGTGTCAAAGTAATCTTCCAAACATGTCACTATAACCTTTCCATTTGCTCTTACAGTTCCCATTTGGAACAATATTTGTCAACAAATCTAGGGTTTGAGGCAGGGGTGTGTTTTTAACAGCATTTGTTTTTAATGCTTACTAGAAACATTCCCTTAAATTCTGCCACTATTTAGAGGTCAGTTTAGAAAATTATTTTTGTGACATTTAAATAGCTATTTGGTAAGTACGTGTGATAATAAGCTTCAAAAAGAGGATTATCAATAAAAAACCATCCACAAGAGCAATCTACCAGAAAATGGCTTTGGAGCTGGCTGGCTGTGGGAAGGGACGGTCAGACCACTGCCGTACGAAAGGCTGGACTCTACAGAGGCAGCAGCAGGAGGCGTACGGCTCACCTTCCTTCGCTGCTGTTAACGGGGCCCAAACCCGCTGATGCACTGCATCCTCAGCTTGAGGACAACGTGCTGTGACACACCCGCTCTTTTACCTTATTATGCATGTCATAGAATTGCGATTCACTATTTAATCACTCTAATCGCATATCACCAGTGCTAATAAAACTCCAGTAATAAAAAAGTAATTTTCCTTGAGAGAAAGAAATGGCTTGAGCCTGTTCGGGTGTCTGCAGCCACGAGTGAAAAGAAAAACCCTGTCAAAAATCCCCAGACATCGCTATGGTTTATGTAAATAAACTACTGGAAGGTCATCTGAATTAATGATGTATCTTTTCAAAGTATTGAGTTACTTTATTCACATTTACTGAGTTTAGAAAGTAATTTGCTTAAGGCAAGGCTTGGGTCTATCTAGGATTAATAGCACTATGCAAAGGAAAAAATCAGGACATCATAAAACATTTCAAAACTGTGGAAAGCAATTCTTCAATCTTTCTTTCAGTTAGATGAAATATACCAGTAGAAAAGTACGACAGGAAACAAATGTGTACTGGGCAAGAACACGCAACAGTCGAGCTCAGTCTTTGCATCACCAGGTCTCCAAACTCAGGCTGAAACTCGGGACTTCAGCCCACTTTCATTGCAGCACCATTGCGCTGCAGGTTTCCTCCTCTCATAGGCACTGACAGCAAGCTCCCAGTGGGGGCTGCTGGGGTGATTCTCTTCTGAATCACAGCTTGGGTATTACCCCTGAATTACCTCCTGGGTATCAACCCCCTGCATTACCCCTCCTGGATAACAGCTTCTGCTGTGTCACGACAGCAGACAGCAACAGTGTACCATGAGGTCAGATTGCCCAGCCTTACACTAACACTTTATCATTTAACAGCTCTTCTGGGTTTTGAATGTTGAGTCGGTATTTATACAGATTGAGAGACCCTCAACTTTTGATGTAACAGTAAAATAAAACAAACAAAACAAAAAAAAAAAGAAAAACTTGATGTAACAGTAAAATTAAACAAACAAAACAAAAAAAAAAAAAAAGAAAAAACCCCACCAAAACAGACTAGAAATGGAAAGAAAAACTGGGAATAGTAGCTTCAGCAACTCTAAATAGCATGGTGGATTATTTTTTTCTAGAAGTACCCCATGATGTTCTGGACTTTCTGGTGGTCCCAGGCACAGGTTTTTGTCAGAAAAGCACCTCTGTGTCTGTAGGAAGCCCTGGAAGAGCCAGGAGCATCTTGTAGGATCAAGACACAGGAACCTGCCAAGAGGCTGTAAAGAGTACAGACGCAGGAGGCAAGCAGAGGTCCTGGGAAACTTGCAGCCGCATCTCAACTGCAAAATGGCACCATTTTGTACTGAGTTGAAGCCACTGCAAGAAGCTGTTCCCAGAGGCCCTTTTCTGCCTACCTGCTACAGCAAACTGGGCTGGGAAGTGGTCCAGCTCAGGTTTAACCTAGACAAGGTGCCCAGCCTCATTCACCCCACAGCTAACTTGCAAAATTTTGTTCCATGGATCTTATGGCTGGCTTAAAGGTGTATAATTTGTTACATACCTGACTTAAAGTTGTATATAGAATTATAATGACACTACCACTACAGAAACAGTAAAAGGATATGTTGTTACCACTGCTATATATCCCCCCATTCAAATTTTCCCTAAGCAAAACTTGCTCAGAAAAAAAATTTTACATTTTCTTGCTGACTTTTCACCTTACAATTACAATATACTTTTGAAAATACACAATTACACAATACAACTACTTTCATATATGTAAGAATATCTGCACCACTATTTAACTATTAATTTTCTTTCCAGCAGATAGCCCCACTCACGATGTATTGGCTTACGCCCAATTCATGTACTCAGCATGTGTAAAAATCTCTCATTCACTGACTGTGCACCAAACACGGGCAGAATCTGCTTGAAATTGATACACACACAACACTTCCCCAGCACATCACGTTGCATCATGTTAGGAGAACGCTAAAAAAAAAAAAACCACCACAAACCACACATACACAAAAAAAACACTAACCAAAAAAAAAACCTGAAAAGCAAAAGAAAAACCAATTCCAAACCCTGAAAATCTAAAACTGAGTTTATCAGCAAAACAGAAACTTTTAGGGATTGTTTGTATTACTTTAACAATTCTGCCTGTAAGTTTGAAAGGAAAAGGGACTTGGCAGATGAGCTCAATAACAGACTTTCAGAATAAGACATTGTGGGCTGAGTTAGCATGCTAACAGGAAACCATTCAGTCTGGATTTAATCAAGAGGCCATCTCCTCACTGACATAACCAGGCTACCCAAAGGCAAGAGTTTTCACATTTGCTTTTGTGCTGTCTGCTCAGAGGAATACTATATCTGCTGCTATTAAAAGATGTTCTCAAAGCTCCTGGCGAGTTTCAACCGGGGCACACAGTCATCACTGTGACGTGGCACCAATTAAAGCCATCAGAAGTTTTGCACTGTTTTGTGTGTAAAAAACAACAACAAAAAAGGCTCCGTTTGTCTCCTATCGACACATACCGCAGTCTAACAAAGGTCCTAGACCCCACATCTCAGGGTTTCGCTAAGATTTTTGGTCCTCTACAAGGCTAAAAATTCTTGTTGAAACAGAAGAGCTCCACGCAGACTAAAAAGTTCCTTCAAGCACAACCCGACTCCCAAAAAGGAGCCGCAATTCGGTTACAATCAAGGTCCTGCCCTTGTCCCGTCCAGGCTGGCTCCTGAACCCACGCACAACCCCACCGACTCACCAAGGTGCTGTGAAAGGGCAAGATAGCCACGGGCACAATCGCAGGACGAGGAAAAGATGTGAGTGGCAGTGCAATATCCCACAGACTTCTCTCTGCAACAGCCACCGACACAGGGTTTGGCTGAACTGGTCCTAAGTTACAAGGAGATTTTACCAGTTTGTTACTAGGTGTGTAAAAGCAACACTCCTTTGTGAATCTGGTGAGACACCGTACGCAGCCTTTGACAACACAATCTCCATGTCCTTCTCTGCAAGAACTGTCAGGTGTGCTGGTCTCTTGCCATTTTGCCTACAGATTACAGGAAAAACCAAGCAAAAGCTCCACATGCCTCAGGGCTGCCAGGTATTTCACAGTTTGACAGCCAAAATGCAGCTCCTGATCCACCAGCCTCGTGTGCCAAAGGTACAAACGCTGCCTGTTAACCTTCAAGGGGATTATAAATGAATTATGAACTCCACTATTTCCTAAATTAATGATATGTCCTAGAAAGAGAAAGTAGAGACTCTTCAAGGTTAAAAAAAAATAGTTCAAACTGTGAACAACACAAAAATAGGCTGTTACCCAAACAGAGACATAGAGAACTGGAGCCATTATTTCATAAAATATCACTGGAAACTATCACTTTTCCCCCAAAAAAAACACCGCTCTGCAGTTTTTTTCCAGCGCAAGTGTTATCTGTTGAAATTCTGAAAGTGAGAATCATGGAATGAGATCAACGTAATTGTTTTTCATTAGGCAGACTGGAAAAAAACCTGAATGAAAACCACTGGGATGAACGATAAATAAATGAAATACCAAATATTCTTCAGGCTTAGTAACTTAAAGCATTACCACGTTACTAAAGACTTGTTTTATTTAGAAATTCTGCAAAATTATTTTCAAGAGCACCTAGCTAACTAGTGTCTCAAACTCCATTTTTACTGATTTTGACAGATTTTAAAATGCTCTTGACTTTCCTTGAAACTTACAGCTTTTCCAGATGAGGACATTTCCACACTCCCTATTTTTACTAACTCACTGACAGACATCCTATGCTGGAATAAAACTGCCTAAATTGCAGTTAACTTACATGTTAACTAAAAATAAGGGACTCTAATCAAAACAATGATCAACCAAAAAAATGATTGTTTCATTTCTCTGTTTGCTCAAATGTGAATCAGGTTTAACCTTCTAAAGTAGGGATAATTTGTGATTTTGCCTTCATTTTTTATATATTGCTTCCTCACACACAGGCTCTCCAGCATAAACCTATGATATCTACAATCATCCTCGGAAAATAAATAAAATAATGAGAAAAAAAAATAATCCATGGAATGATTAAGCTTCGAAAGCTCCAGAAACACAAGCATCCATAACACCAGTCTGACAGAATGTCCAGCTGGGACAGGGTTGATTTTCACAGAAGCTAAGAGGGGGGCACAGAGCAGCTGACCCTAACTAGTCCAAGGGGCTATTTGACAGCATGCTGACCTGACCGGGATATGCGGGGGAGCTAGCCTGGGGAGGTGGGAAGGTCTTTGCAGCTCCGGAGCCAGCTTAACCCTCTGGCTTCGCGTGGTGAGCGGTTGCATTGTGTATAACTGATAATATTGCTGCTGGTGTTATCTTTTTTTTCTTGTGTTGTATTATTAAATCTGTCATTACCTCAACTCACAAGGTTTCATCTTTGTTTAGTTTTTTTGGTTTGTTGGGTTTTTTTTCTTCAATTCTTTCCCACAGTCGCTCATCAGTTTCGCCGAGTGTCATTAACCCACAACAAAGAAAAAAACCCTCAGGTATCCTTGAGTTACCATGCAGTCACGCATCACTTCAAGAAAGTAACAAGACAGATGCAACAGAGAAGTTGTTTGAAGAACAACTGGATTCCAAGGCAAAAATACACAGAGCTTAAGTAATAACACGTCTTCAGGGTGCTGCGTAAGACTCCTACTCACTTTTTTTTTTTTTAAGAACAATTGCAAAGATATTAACAAATTATTTCATGTAGCGTTTCCTTCCCACAAAGATCATAATGAACTTATAATTAAGCCTTAAAAGGAAGGAAACAAGATTGTCCCGTACAGATATTGACAGATAAACCCCCCAGCAGCTGACAATCGTGTTGAACTTCCACACACTGTGCTGACTGCCCCGGTCCATGCCACGGGACCAGTAAAAAAAAAAAGTGAAAACTGGTCATTTTGCACTAACAGTGCACGTTAGAAAGAGCAGTGTTCAGACTCAGCTCATCAAATGAAGTCACAAGCTTTTCAAGTGCTGTTAGGCTAGGCTCTGGGTGTACGCATCCATGCTTCCTCTTGCCATCAGTTCTGTGACTCCGGCAGGATGGAAGAGCCTTGCGTCGCACCAGTCTCCTCTCCGGCCTTGTCCTCCACCCTGCAGAACTCTCAGCCTGGCAAACAGCTTGCATTAGATAAGGATCTGAATTTGAAGCCAAATTGCCACTCTAGGAATCTGTGGCTTGAAACTGAAGGATTTGGGTGGGCAGATCTCTCGCAGCCTGCAGACTCAAGGCAGCAGAGATGCTCGCCCTTCACAAGAGCAGCTTTTTATTGTACAGTGCACTTGGAAATAAAATTAATACGGAGCTCTCCGCAGAGCTCTGGGTCCTTTGCGCACTCCCGTTTCCTCATTTTGGATGCTGCTGAAAATCAGAATTCCCCATGTTGACTGCGGCAAACTCAGAAGCCAAAATAACTTTATGAGCTCTTTCTTATGATCCGGCAGCTAGGGGTATTCCTGGATTTCCAAAGCTCCACCCTTTTCCTTTCCTTTCGTACCACATAAATAGCCTTTCTTGGCAGCAACCCCGAGTTTCCAGGACCAATTAATTCCATGATCATTATACAAAAGGCATTCTCATTTTCTGGTATCCTTAGAGCTCAGAGCCTGGCTGGTATCTGCCTGAAGAGCTGGCAAACAGTAACAAAAGCTGTGGGTCAGATTTAGAGGTAAAAAAAAAAAAAAAAAAAAGCCTCTTACACCAATGCTGTTGCTCAGTTAGAACCCTTTCACTCAGGCACCTTGCAGCTACTTAAAGCCACTCTGGGGAAAATAAGGAACAACACACCCTGGCGCTGAGCTGTGCATTCTCACACCTTCTGAAGTTATGCAAATTTACACTCATTTGGGTATCAGTGAACTATGTGGGACTAGCCCTTAATGAATCAAAGCAAAAGTAAAGAAGCCTAATTTACACATCACCGCTCACTCCATGCATCCAAAGGAGTTTAAGCAAGTGCATTAAGAAATGGAATCTTCAAAGAAGTCTACATCAAAATGGCATTGTCCAGCTCTTACAAATGATGTCATTTATTCAGCCATGGGAACATACAAATTCCTCCTCTGAATTTGGCCCACTTCTAAGCAGCATCTGTGCAGCAAAGGAATGTAGTTGTATTATTCACTGAGAATCAACCCTCTGAGAGGTTCACTACGCAGCGTACAAGCTTTTTAAAAGAGACCAAAAACTGCCCCAACAGCTCAGCCCCAAATCTTCATCTCTAGCTATCTTGTATGACTGATGCATTTACCTTCCTATTGCTTCCTACATACAAAAAGTTCCATCTCATCCGGACTCTTGATAGGACTTTTAACAAAATCAAGACAAGCCCTCCCACCCTCTTCTCTTCTCTGACTTACAGTCTTCATTGAGCTAACTGAACCTGAAACATCAGACTACCTCAAACCTTTTCATTTTTGTTTGACACATTTCACAGTTCTGCAGTTCACCACAATCTTGTTCTCTCATAACATGCCAGGGACATACAATTTTCATAATACATCAGTATGTATAAATATTCCTTGGGGTGCTTTTGATTGGACATTGAAGCGTAGTAAGTTCCTAATTTAAAATAGAAAAGCGGAAAAAAAAAAAAAAAAAAAAAAGAAACCAGTAAGTCAGGTAAGACTCTTAGTCACACGCACCTTATACTGTTTGAGGAATAGCTGTCATCAAATAGCATTTGCTAGAAACACTCTTCTAACCCAGCAAACAAACGGGTCCCATATTAAATATCTTTCCAAAGTCCTTTTATATTAGAGGGAATTGCTTCTGTACAGCTCAGCATCCTTCTCTCCTCAGTGCACAGAAACACCAAAATGGCCAATCACCAAAATGAGCAGTAAATACTCAAAATAACAGCTGAGTTAAATCAAGGCAAGAAAATAGGTTTTATTGCCTATTTTGGCAGTAAAATCAGTCCATTTCGTAGAATATTTTGACTTCTGGAGATGAAGGAAGTGTTACACAGTGTCTCCATGAGGGAAGCGCTTTACACAGAGTCTTTGAACTTGCATAAAACCGTCAGTGATTAACTGTCCAAACTAATAGAAAAGCTTTTACAGGTATGGATTATAGAGGGAAACAGGCAGCTGGGGTAGTTCCCCCATGCCCCAGAAACAGCAAATAGGACGTATTGTTTCTGCTAACAACCCCTGTCTTAACCTTTCTTCCTCCCTCCCCGCACTCGCACGGCTTGCAGGCTCTCCTGGAAATCAGCAGGTGCCAAAGCCTGCCAAACCCAGGGCGAGGTACTGACCAGGAACCCTAAAGGAGAAAGGAGAGGGTGTTGAACGTAATCTAATTGTGGAGCTCATCATCACTTTCTGCTCAGTCAGCAGAAACAAACATCCTGGATCAGCAGGCAACACTACTGAACTCAAAATGGATCTAAGGATGTCAACAGTACTAATTCTGTTGCATAATAGCAGCATGAATGCACATTACATCACCCCAAATATGGTTTTATTCATCCCGATTGTACTCTTGGCTTTCCTTTCACACTGTAAAGCTTTCTCAAACAGTACAGAGAAATTCAAATTATACTGACTCAGGAAATCAGTGTAAACTGCTACTGCACTCAGTGTAAACAACAAGGCAAGAATAATAGATTTTAATAGTACGAATAGCTGGAAAATAAAACTGTAGGTGCGGGGAGATTAAATGCATTCTGACAGCGGAGAAAATATTTATCAGAAGACTGATTCAGATTTCAAAGTTAACTGAACTTGAACCAAAAAGTACTTTTGTGGAAGAAAAGAAACATTAAGGAAAGGTTGTTATATGTTTCATAATAATTACTATGAGCAATCTCTATAGCCAAGTTTTTTAATCTTTTATGAAAGAAATAGGTTAGCAGTAAGTACACCATTTTTATGACCACACCAGATCTAAAGTGCATTATAAACTCCATTTCAATGGCTGTACTTTTTCCTACCCTTTGTTTGGAAACTAAGAGACCTCTCCAGGGTGGGGCCTGAGTAGAAAAAGCAGTAATAGTAAATTAACATTAGGAGTTACCAGCTTGAACATTTCTTTAAGTGCTGAAAGAGTCCAAAAATATTAGTTCAATCATTAGTTCAGGTCAAACTGCATTTTTACAATATTATCTGGACATCACAGGGGATCAGATTATGCAATCTGTTTCAGTTCTCTTGCATACAGACACACACATATAGAGAAAGGGAATGCCTGTGCATGACTACACGTGTGTCTGTATGCACCATACCTGTGAAAGCAACATCCTTGTGCCAATTCTATAGGTACCTTCGCTGTGACAAATTCTGCATCTGTATGACAAACTGCATAAGCATATGGCAACTAAACATACTGCATACCTGCACAAATTACTGCCTTCTTGCAGCTCCAGCAGAAAGCAGCATGGGTTGCGTATGCTGGCACTGAACTGGCTGGAGACGTTTGTATTTCAGTTTAAGAATGCTATGTTGCAGTTGAACTTAAATCCTCAGGCAACAGACACAAATCAAAAGACACATATAATTATAGGGAAGTATTGAGTCAGAATGCAAAATAGGTATAGCTTATGAGTAAGGGGGAAAGAAAGAATAAAAAA